GAGGAGTGAGAGAGATAGACAGGCAGAGAAGAAGAGGATAGAGAAGAGGATAGGGGAGGAGAGGATGGAGGGAGAGGGAGAGGAGAGAGAGAGGCAGAGAGAGAGGAGGGGAGAGGAGAGGGAGATGGAGAGGAGAGGGGGGAGAGGGAGAGGGAGGATGGAGAGGGCAGAGGTAGAGTAGGGAGAGGTAGAGGCAGTATGTGGAAGAGGGTGGAGAGGGAGCAGAGAGCTCACTCCAAGGCTCTCGGCACCGACAGGCAGCGCTGTCGCTGCATAAAAACAGCCACAATCGGCGCAAACAACATTTATACTGAGTACGTGTGCGGTGAGTGCCAGCGCGGGAACCGCCGACATTTGCGATCGTGTGTGTCTCGTGCGTGGTGCGTGTCTCTGTGCGATGTATGCGCCCGTGCCTGTGTGGTGTCTCTGTGCGTGTATGCGCCCGTGGCCTGGTGTGGTGCGTCTTTCGTGTCTGCCTGCGCACGTGGCGTCGTGTGCGTCCTTTGCGCCGTGCGCGGTGTGCGCCGTGGCGTGTGTCTGTGCGTGCCTGCGCGTGGTCCTCTGTGCGTGTATGCGCCGTGCATGTGCGTGCATGGCCGTGCGCGTGTGGTGCATGCCGCCTGTCGCTGTGTCTAGTGCGGCCGCGCCCGTGCGTGTGTGTGTACATGCGCGTGCGCTGAGTGCGTAATGCCCCGTTTGCGATGTGTCTGTGCGTTGCCTGCGGCCGTGTGTGTGTGCCGTAGTGCCAACTGCAGTACATGCGCCCGTGCGCGTGTGTCAGCATGCCTTCTAGTATAGCCACATCTCTTCTGTGTAAAGCACAACATCATGCGCGCAGCAAGCATGTGTGAAAGTAACAACATCAAGAGCAGATAAAGAAGGTACACCTTCTTTATCTGCTCTTGACAACATGTGTAACTGCACGCATAGGAATCTCTCCACGCGTGCACTTATGATACTAATATTTATTAGCAAAAACAATTTAGCATGAAAGGTACAGCCAACACAGCTGCGAGACTATAACAACCACGCGTACAATAACAGGAGGGAAACAACATAAATCTGTTATCATTCTACTCCCGAAAATACATGGCAATACATGACGCGATCCACAGCCGATTCTTGGAGCTACTTGCTATGGGGAAACATTGTCACCAACCGTTCATTTCTTTTGAAATCATCCCCATTAGTGGAATAATTTAGTTTGCCCATGTTAGGCAGAGAGTGCATTTACAATTACACGTACAATTTCCCACTTGATTTGCATGACTTACCAGAAGTATGATTTCACCCTGTACTGCAAAATACTCCAAGTTGATCCAAAGTCCTCTGAAATCCACAGCTGAAGAAAGAAATGAACAAGAAAATATTTAAATAACCACAAGAAACTCAGCTGCATATGATAATAATAATTGAAGCAGATATTTCTATATACTCATATCAATAGTACATAATAGCAGAAGTAGATAATAGGAAACTATAATCTACTTCTGAGTGATAATAGAGATATCTCTATTATGTACTCTTGACTCATATTTTAAACTATAAATAAAATGTGAAATACACAATGTGATAGAAGCACACATTCAGTATCACATATATCAGGAGCGTACTATAATGACAATTATACGCTCCTGCATATATGTATAGAAATTTATTTTTTTATAAAAACATCAAATTGTCTAAAAGTGACATGATGCTAATGCATATATGCATAACGCACGCATTTTAAACCCGCATACGTAACATAAATACTGCTGAATCCTACAAACAGGCTGTCAAATGAAACACTTTTTCAGTATTGTTAGACAATGTTTAATAGTACTAATCTCGTAATCATAGCCACACAAAAGAACCACACAATAGAATTTTTTTTCCATTATGGACTCTTGATGCAATCTACCAGTATTCACCCTCAAGGCTTCTTTTTATAATTTATCATCATCATACACTCCATGATTGAAGTTTATTACAACACCCACGATTTCCTACCATGTGAACACCACCAAACACACACCGTGTGCACGCATACATGCAAGCACACACACACACGCATGCATGCACGCACGCGCACACTGATAATAAAAGTGTTAATGACACTGTAGCTCACCTTGTGTGTGATAGAAGAGGGAGGGGGGATATATAAAGCAAGAGTATATAGATGGGAGAACTCCCATTATATATAGCATATCTCCCATTATATATACTCTTGATAATGATATATATGCATAATTTTTGATGCGAAAATAAATGTTTCAGATCTGAAAGTCTGAAATCTGGGCGAGAGATGGCACTACGCCTTAATGATCGACCTTTTGGTTTTCGAATATCGTGCAAATAAAAACAATAAAATATTCCAGTCAAATTACTGTAACGAAGAATCTAAAACACAATATTACACGTATATAGGTATGATTGTAGAGTTGTTAACCAGTTAGACGAAATAAACGTAATAGGACGTTGTCATCTCTCCCATAGGAGTAACAACTGTTTTGGGGCTAGCCTTACACATTCACATACCGAAATTTAGCCAAATCGAATGAATCTAGATGGCCATTTTCATTTTTGCCAAAAAGTGGGCGTGGCTCGAAGGTAGGTCGACTGGCGTGCTCCAAAATAGGACGTTCAAATCTCTCCCATAGGAGTGACAACTGTATGCAATTTGAAACATGTGGGTCAAACGGTTCTTGAGTTATTGTTGACCGTAGGCAGACACTGAAATGCATAGTGAAATTGCCAAAATCTACCCAATTTGCATAATTTTAAAAAAATATCAAAAACCCGTGTGATATGTTTTGGGGCCAGTCCTTATTCATTCACATACCAGAAATGAGCAAAATCCGTTGAACCTGAACTGACTTATGCCCATTTCCATTTTTGCTAAAAAGTGGGCGTCGCTCGAAAGTAGGTCGAATGACGTGCTCCAAAATAGGACGTTCAAACCTCTCCCATAGGAGTAACAACTGTATGCAATTTGAAACATTTGGGTCATCTTGAAGATGTCACGGTGAGCTAAAACTTAACTCCTGCATTCCAGATAAGGGTCCTCTTTAGCTACTCTCTACTCTCTCCGAATTTATGTGTCCATATAATCAGGAGTGAATAATAATAGATTATTCATTATGATATAATATAATAATCTATTATCATTCACACCTGATATAATCAAGAGCTAATAATACCTAGAGTGTACAACGGAAAAACGGGAAAATAGTGCTATTTCACGACATGATTATTCTACTTTGCCTGCGAGTCTAGAATAATTTCATGGTATTGCATTAAGCAGAATTCTTTGCTCTCTAAAACAAGACCAACCGCTTGTCAATACGATACTCCTAGTCTGAGATATTGCCTCGTACACTTCCCCTCCCACAGGCCTCACAGCGCCTCGCATCCACAATAT